AAGAAATATCCACATGGTGGAATATCGTCCAAGTATTAAGGATCCTTTCAGATGAAAAAGCTATGGCTGGTCCGTATTTTCGACACTTGAAGATGTGTGCTGGCGTTGAACTTGGTTCAGTACAGGCCGGAAAAAACAGTTCTCCCCCCACCCCGGAGGCTGGCTCCTCCCCAGTGAAGTCTGCCCATTAAATCATGAGTCCTCCCCGTGTCCCACAGAGTCGGTAAGAACGAGGAAGCACCGTCTTGGCCTTGGGTCAGCGTGTTCTCTGCGACACAAAGAGACTGAGAAGCCTGGTGGATGTGTCAGAGGCAGTCAGGGCAGGAGTAGGGCCCCAAGTCCTCTCTGTGGTGTGCATCTCGTCCCTCATGTGCACCTGCTCAGAATATTTGGTTTTGCTAGTGACTTTCCAGAGGGGAGTAAACAGAACGTCATTGATAATGAGATGTGATATATTTGTCATCGGCAAAATCCTAGTGTTGCTGCAGCTGCCTCCGTGGCTTCGAACGAATGAGTCCTTGGAAAGAATAATGGGGCTGTTCTGTGTTGGAGTGGGGGACTGGGGAAGGGTAGGAAAATGTCGTAGAGTCAGGGGCAGCAGTGATGGGAGAGAATCTGTAGCAGAGCCGTTTTGGGTTCCTGCTCTAGTTCAGATTATGAAAATGGACCAGAAGTACAGCTGTTTTAAACATTTATAACCAGTCACTCGGCTGTCAGGCATTCTTCCTGGAGTTGCTCGTGTCCTCAGACCCTCTGGGTCTGAGCTACCTGTCTGCTGCCTGAGAAAGGTGGAGCGAAGTTCTCATCCCTGCCAGACACACCCCTCCCAGCCGGAACGCCAGCCTCAGATGGGCACGCCTGCAGCGCGTTCTGAATTCCATCAAACACTTAGGGCACTTCTGAGGCGTGGTCCTGACCCCAGGACTTGACTCTCACTTGAAGGATTACCACCACTGCACCTGGACACTTAGATCCATTTTTAAAGTTAGAAATGACTTGAGAATGTGTTAAAGTCTAGTACCAAGTCTGTGTTAACTGTTGATTTCTGTTTGTGTGCCTTCCCTTGTACAGAGGTGTTTGTGAATTTACTCCTTTTTTTATTTGGTGCAGGAGCCCTGAATTCTTGGCCCCATCATAGCCAAGTCATGTGTCACTAGCTAAACATTGCAGTGGATGGAAGTGAATATATAAACGGAATATTTGGTTTCGATTCCAATTTGCAGACCAAAAATATCCTCACAGCATTTCTTTGCCTTCTTTTGGTTTATATTCATATTCTACACTTATAACAATGTGTCTCCTAATCTAATGCTAATAGTAAAAGTTTAGATATGTAGGACCCTTCACAAAACTCTTTCACACAAAGTATTGCCATGACTCTCCAGCGAAACGAAAGTACATGCTAACACTGTCCTTTTCCAGATGAGGAAACTGAGGCTCGGAGAAGGTGATGGTGGCCGCCTGCTCCGGGCGGTGGTGCAGGAGCGATGAGTCCATGGCTCTCTAGGAATCCAGGGCTTCCCAGTTCCCCTTTCATCCCCCACAGGCATAAAATATATAAAAATGCATGATCTACAAACTACTATTCAAAAGGGAGCAGTTAGACCCATCAATTTGTTAACATTTCAAAACATTTGTCAACATCTGACTACAGATGCTTCTCATTCAGAGCCGTGTATTAGAACACTGGGTTCAACAAGCCAGGCACAAATCTAAAAGGAATTGCACTGTCTGCTAGTGGAAAACAGACGTCAGTAGCCCGGGGACACATGAAGTGAAGTTTTAGTTCCACTTGCTAGCTCAGCTGTTGCTGGCATTGAAAAGCTGTAAGAAGTCTTAAGTTTCCTCTCATCAGTTGCTAAGTAGAAAATGAAAGCTTATTCATTAGCGTATCCCTGGGCAGAAGTTTGCTAACCTAGACCCAAATTCTGTGGATATCAAAGCCCCTTAGTGTCCAGACTTGGACTGAGTGACGTGGTTAAGATTTATGCTTTGTGCTGCTATGAAAATGTCGCGATTGTGACAGCCTGTGGTAATGCTTTTCCTCTGATTTATATTTTAGTGTTTAAATGGGTGAGAAGAACGTTAATTGCTCTCGTTCAGGTCACTTTCGGAAGAACCATCAACAAGTGAGTTGCACGAAACTAATGCTTGAATTCATGCCCTAGCCTTTGCCTTAACAGTCCAATTACATCCTCAACTCAAGGTTTTTTCGTTTCTCTTTTTATTTCTGATATGATTCTAAGATTGGATAGGGAAGCAGATTTCTACAAGACTCTCTCCCCCAGAATGCGCGGTGCACCAGATAACAAGCTTGGGCTGGCTCTGGCAGGCTGGTTGACGAGGGTCAGAAGATTGTTCTGGAAAGTTCTCTGTTGACCATGATGACTGGTTTTAATATCTTGGGTACAGCGTTTTTATGTCACATGATGGGGATCAGTTTAAGGCTTAGACTCTGAGCCAAAATGAAAGGATGAGCATCGCACGGCAGGTATTTATTTGAAGGGAAATGCAAACCATATATTTTTTTAGAGTTGGGGTGATATCAAAATAGTAATTTCTCTTGTTAGTTGATAGCTAAGTATCCATGAGGGGTGTGTGTACCCTGTAACACTATTGTAAGCCATATGTGTATTCTGAATTGTATCACGTTACCCATATCCCTAAGGGTTATACTCTATGCCCAGTACCCAATGCTTACGAGGCTGTAGCATTATGAACCCCCCCACACACAAAAACTGGGAGTCAACTGCTAAAACCAAGGGGAAAAAAAGTTATTTTTGTACAGCAAAATATGTTTTAAGATGAAATTGTCAGATTTTTCCAAGTGAAAGATTAATTTAGTTGTCAGATGTATGTATAAGGTTAACATTGTAGTTTTATCACATAAATCTTATAAATTTTGGGGGGGAAACATAATAAAGATCATATTATATTTTTATTCAGTTGCAAATAGAATATATTTTCCTTGTGGTCATAAACCAAAATTTACTTGCTTATTTCTAAGATTTTTTTTAAAAAATGGTGGGGCTTCCCTGGTGGCACAGTGGTTGAGAGGCCGCCTGCCGATGCAGGGGACACGGGTTCGTGCCCTGGTCCGGGAGTAGCCCAGATGCCGCGGAGCAGCTGGGCCCGTGAGCCATGGCCGCTGAGCCTGCGCGTCCGGAGCCTGTGCTCCGCAACGGGAGAGGCCACAGCAGCGAGAGGCCCGCGTACCACCAAAAAAACAAAAAAAAAAAAAAAAAAAAAAAAAAAAAAAAAAAAAAAATGGTGTTAGTGGCTTGTTTAGTTGACTCTTAGTATCATGGGCTTTTAAGCAGAAAAATGCCCTGTTTAACTTACAGTTTCAGTCTGAGGCAAACCTCTTAACCTTAGTACTGACAGACCTTGGATAAAGAAGTTTTCAAAATGGCCCTATTTTTCTCAGAACTCCAGACTTGCTAACTTATTTTCTTTTCCAGTTTCAGAAAATCATGCATACATTCCCTGCTCCTATTTATGATATTGGCTCTTAAATTTAAGATGAGCAGCTGTGGTTTGAGAGTGGTGAATACATTAGGCGGTTCTTTACATGGGGCTGGGGGAGGGGCACCATGTAGGGAATTTTCAGGCTGTGGGTTTCAGTGGGCTTTTTTATCAGGTAGAGAAATTACGGAGCATCTGGCCCTGTGCTGTTTTGCCTCAGGCAGACGACACATCATAAAATTAAGTAGCAGCACAATATATGCCTCTCGCCTTGTACCAACTGTAATTTCACATCCCAGAATTGCTGCAAAAGCTTCCTCCAGTTTTGGTTAATACAAAGTCAGACCTAAATTGATAGAAAATGCTTAGGTGATGGCCTTTGGTAAGTCACTCACCTAGTTTTAAGTTGGAAACTGAAATTCTCCTCCTTCATTTCTTCACGCAGTGCTGGTGAGTAACCCAAGGACTACAGGCAAAACAAGCTGTGTTTTTATGTAGATTTTACCTAGGCGGGCAGGTCAGCAGGTTCTCAAAGCCAAAGCCCCACTGAATTAATAAAATTATTTGATCTAGATATGAATTGCACAGCCCTAAGCAGTTTTGGGAAGTATCTTAGGAGACATGCAGTTACAAACAGGATTACCATGGTTCTGACTCACAGTGGAATTTAGACTTCATTGGTGACTAGTTACTGTGTGCAAAGTGCTGGGCTTGAAACATCTATTTCAGATACTATTTCTGAAAACCTCACATTGTCCCTTTAAAAATCTGGTTGGGAAGTCAGATTCTTAAAGGGCTTTTTGATTTATTATTCGTGAATTAAGTTTGAAACTTCAGGTCTTTCTTGCACTAATAGTCCCAGGTGATTCTGCTCCCACTTTCTACAGAGAGACTTACCCTCCCAACCTCAGCACCGCTGCTGGCTCTGTGAACTGTGCTGCTCTCTGCAGCCGTCCCCTGGTTGGCGGGAATTTGATGAAGCAGGGTTTATGGAAGACCTGGGTAACCAGATAAAAGCCACTTATTTATAACCGTGCAGGTCAAGATCTGCCCGATTTTCACTCCTGTGGGAAGGTGACGTGGCTGGATAGCAGTGTATCTTTTCAAAGTCCCCCCCTTTGTGGTGAAAGGGGGGGTGTCTGTTCCCCCTTTGCCCCGTGAGCATGTGAGATGTTTCCGGGGTCGGACAACTCTGCCCAGCGTCCTCTGCCGTGGCCGCCCCAAGGGACAACTAGTGAAGGAGCTTGGTTCTCCCCAGGACTACCAGAGCTCAGGGAGCTCTTCAGTCTTTAAAAAGGATTGATGCTTTCAGTTTATACCACTTCATGGAGAAATTAGTATGTTAAGTACCGTGCACAGCTAAGAGTAGTTGCAAGCTTCAGACAAATCAGTCTCCTCTCAGTTCTTGCTTTTCCAGATTGAAAGACACCGTGCGGCAAACATTTAGAGAATTCAGTACCAGTGAAAATGTGAGCTCCAAGAATGAATGGCTGTCAGTGTTACCACAATAAGAAAAAAAACTTTCCGAGTCAGAGTTTAAAAATCCAATTCCTAGTTTATTCATCAAACGCTTATCTTAACCTACCCATTGACAAATGCCTTGTGAGAATAGAGAATAAGATTTTTTAAAACCTCATCCAAGAAATATTTTGCTCTTGAAAGACAACTCCGGGACGCAGTGGACTGGGCTCTCAGCGAGCAAATGGTGGTCTACTACATCGGCGCTCTCCGGGACGCTTTGTGGCCCGGTGGGAATTTGGCACCTCCGAACACAGTCCCAAGTGAAGAACAAAGCCAGGAAACAAAGCGGAGAGCACAGCAGAAGCTGCTTGAAAACATTCCAGGTGAGGCCTGGGCTCTGACCCTGAAAGTCACATGAAGAGGGAGTGTTGATGGCCCTTCTCCTTTTTCGCTTAGGAAACATTATTTACAGTGAAAAAAGTGATCATACTTTTTCCTTTTAAATCATCTCTTGTCCCTTGCTAAAAAATTATACTGAGAATCCCAATAAGAACAGTACTGGTTATAATTTAACTAGAAAAATGTTTTAGAACAGATAATAAAATTTTATGCCTTAAAAACCCTGTTAAAGTGCCCAGTTTTTTGTTGGGGATCCACATATTAAAATTATAGTTTGTATAAATGCCTTCTATTGAAAAATTCTAAATTTTCTCCTTAAACATTGGAAAGAGCTGATCACTCATGTTCCTCACGTCTCCGTGCCTTTATGTGCTGTGTGTGCATATGTCGTAGCCCCTCACTGAAGGTCCATGCAGGGTGCACTTTATCAATAGCAGCGTGGAATATAAACTTAATTTTTCAGATATGCTTCAGAGCCTTGTTGGACAGCAAAATGCCCGTCATGGTATAATAAAAATATTCAACGCACTGCAAGAAACGAGAGCCAATAAGCATCTGTTATATGTGAGTAACTTAAAGCCTCCCAGAGGGTTCAGTTTCTTCAGTTCTACGTTTCTGTTCATATACGGGGGTAGATTTTAACTCTTTATACGCTTAATCATTCTTAGTGCTTGTAACTCTGAACCCATTTTCTCTGCTTCATTTTTGTTCAATTTGGTTAAAAAAAAATAACCCCCTGTGGGTGTGGCATCCCCCTCCTCGCCTGCTGGCTGTTTCTCTCAACTTGTGTTGTAACACTTCTGCCTGAGTGCTTGGCTTTCTTATTTCAGCAAAGCAAACTGTTTCCCAGTAGTCATAATACTGTTGATGGTTATAACGGACCGTGAAATAAATCAATCTGATGCTAAATGGAGTTTATAGAATACTAATTCCTTTTAATCCTTAGAGAAAAAGACATTTTTTTTTTTCTTTCTTGGTTCAGGTGCTGATGGAACTGCTGCTAATTGAATTGTGTCCTGAGCTGAGAACTCATTTAGATGAACTTAAAGCTTGTCAGGTTTGAGACTCCACAAATAAACCACCAGAGAAATGTCTGTAATAATAGACATGAAACATTTTCCTCTTTTCCACAGAGGGCTTGACTGAGAACCATACCTATCTTTTAGTTACCTCCCTCTAGTTTTATGTAAATTAAGCGGAATTGGGGGGGAAACTTGATGCTGTATATTAGGCAACAGAAAAAAACACTTGTTAATTGTTTTTATTTTAATATAAATCCTTTAAAGGTCAACATACTGATTGAAATATAAGTGTTAATACGTGATAAGAACCTAGGAAATATTTTAAATATTTATGAAGTTTTGTTTTAAAAAAGTGTTTTAAATGAAGAATTATGAACGTTGTACAGTTAATTTCCTCACTGAGGATTCTGAACATTCCTATATTCGTGTGTATTGAATATTGTTGTGCAATGCTTTGTGTGAAGTTATTGTGAAAATTTTATTGTCTTTATTTTTACCAAAGATTTCCCATAGTTTGAAGCATCTGAATAAAATATAAAAATGAATCATAGCGCTCTGATGTTTAAGATGCTTATATATATCTCAAAAAAAGTTGAAACACTTAAGGTAGTTCAGATACTTATCAAGTGCCTTTTCTGTAGAAAACATTGCACATGTAAGTACTTCCGTAAGGAAGTATAAAGTTTGCTGCCTTTCTCCAGACACAGAATGAATGTGAAAAATATGATTTTAGTGTGAATGAGAAGAGCCAAAATTGGTGCTTGAAGTGCTGTTATTAGGTGGGATGGATGGGCAGGAATGAGATGGGGAAACAAAGAGGAGGGAAGTTACTTCAGGCTGTTCAGGACTTGATTGTGTCATCAAGTCTTGGGGACCAGTAGGGGCATTAGGCGAAATCCAGGGTACAGATGTTGCTTTGTTTTTCGTAGTGGGACCATGGACAAGTCACTTAATTTTCCTGGGTTTTACCATTTATTATGCAGTGATAATGAAACACTTTCCCCTTTCTAACCCCTGGGAATATTGAAAGCAAGCCAATTAAGCAGAAATTCAGTTTGAAATCCATGAAAGAAACATACTATGTATATATAAAGTGGTATTAATTATATCATTGTTAGATCATACCTGCTGAGTTCCTGATATGCCAAGTTCTTGATATGAAACATAAGTGCTGAAAGACAAATGGTTAAAAATTAATAAAGCAAACTTTATCTTTGCTATTCTTTTAGCTACAGCTCTTTGATCCTTATTTCAAACCAAGATATTTGATACTTTCGAAAAAACTCAAAGTTGGCTATTTATATGGATAAGAATTATCCTTCATAGGGATGTATAAAAGACATTCAGTAGAAAAGACATTCAGAGAAGAGAAGCAGTGTGAAGTCACCAAGCCCCAGGAACTCATAGCAGTTACTAAAAGTGACCATCTTCTGCATAATTAAACCATGGCTGTTATGACTCCTCAGTCCTTAAGAAGTCATCTTACTTTTTCATAAGTTATCAACTGTAAGGACTCTTACAGAAGATTTTTTTTTGAAAAAAATTAATGACCTTGAAGCTTCACCTCACTTAAAGGGTGACTCCAATCACAGGTCAAGGTGTGCACCATGGTTGGGAGTAGTGGTAGTTTGCAGGGGCTCACCTGTGCCAGGTTTGCCAGCTTTATGGTAACGAGAGTAAACTGAAATTTTAAATTCCGTGTTGGGTTCACTTAGGACATTTAAGCACAGCATATTACCAAATATGACAAATCCTACCTTTAGGATTTCTCAAACCGTGTTTTAATGGCAGTTAAAGTGGCCTTCACTTTGGGGATGTAGAGTGAGCGAGCTATGAAAAGTGCTATTACAGTCCCCATACACTGCCTTATTACATTTCTATTTTAAGATTCTTAAAGGCTTAAGGAACTGGATTGAGTGCGGAGAAGAGAATACCGTTGGAAATTTGGATCTTCAAACCACTGAAGGAATGTTCTGTGGATGTTATTCAGAAAACAAGAGCAAAAGCAAGTGGGCTTGTATTGTAGAACGATTTACGTCAGGTTTTATGAAATCTTTTAATGGGCTAGAGATATGGAAATGTTGTTACTGGGGAAGAAGAGAGTCTTCAGCAGAGATTTTAAAATCAAAGGAATGGGTTTCAGGGATGATTTAAGTTTCTACTCTAAGATTTAAAGGAGAAGTATATGGCCTATGTTTGTCTTTAGATACAGGGAAGAAATTTCAACAAAGTGAAGTTCAAATAATATAGACAAACCAGAACATAAAACAAGAGCAAGTAGTTTTGTGCCATATAATACTTCTTTAGTGACAGGCACCTACATATTAATTGCATTTTCCCAGTGCTAAGACTAGATCCTGTAAATCACTTTGGAAAGGATGGTTGTGATTTAAAAAAAAAAGCCATAACATTTACAAAGAAGGTGTTGTTCAGGTATCTTAAACATTATTTTCAATATCTGTTTCACAGATGTATATTTCTTTAGAATCTTTTGCATATGGATTCTATTTTTACTGTCGGATCTTGCCTCTGTAGATGTAATTGATAAGGAAAGTCTTTTGCTAATTTAACAGTTTAGTTATAGTTACATTGGTAGATGATTTGAAATTTTATCTTGTTTTGAAATACATTGAGGGTTTTTAAAATGTAGAAAAGGACCTGAAGCACAGAGAAACATCTTGTTTCAATTGATTACCAGGAACACAGCAGTTTTACTCATTAAGATGTTTAGGGGAAGATATGGAAAGGCAAGATTGTAAGCAATTTCTTAAACCCGCTTATTTTGAAATTTAGATTTTTAATTTGCAATTTGGAATTTTCTATTTTAGAAGTCTTCGATGACTGAAATAAAATTAAAAGTTATTCAAAATTCACAACACTAAGGATTAAAGAAATTTAAAGAATTAAACTTCAGATTTTTAAAAATAAGTCTGTAGCATTTATACTTCTGAAGTTATTAAAGCTAAGATGACACTAAGTCTTTCAGAACACTATTTAAGAAAGGAAAAAAAAAACTGGCTTTATGGAATGGTTTTCAATATTTGACATGGTCTTGGTCAGTCTCTAGCCTAAGAGCTGGATCTTTGAAGACTCTTCCTGCAGTTCAATCCTGTAGCTACGTTTCAAGTTGCAACATTTTACAAATTCAAGAGGGTTGGGATGCGGGGGTGGGATGGGGGGGTGGGATAGGGAGGGTGGGAGGGAGACACAAGAGGGAGGAGATATGGGGATATATGTATACATATAGCTGATTCACTTTGTTATACAGCAGAAACTAACACACCACTGTAAAGCAATTATATTCCAATAAAGATGTTAAAAAAAAAAGAATGAAGGTAAACTGTCATCAGTAAAATACCCAGGATAATGTAACATGGGAGAGCGAAAACAAACATAGCTATTATAAAAATTATAAAAATACACACATTCTAAGTTGTTAGGATTGATGATCTTTGTTGAAATACATTGTAGTCTAAATTCTCTGACGAATAAGTAAAGTGTGAAGTTCATCTGCCAATGAAGGATTCAGACGACAAGCCTTAAAAATCAAAGAAAAAGTTATTTAGACATATTATGAATTGTTGGAGCTTTTGTTTTTAAGAAATAGAGTGCAATGATTTAAGGGAATTTCAAAGTTATACATTTCTATTCTGATTTCTTAATTAGGGAGATTCAAGTTAACCTATGCAAAGTATTAATAGATCGTAACTAAAAATAACCATGCTATTATCCTTTGGGAGAGAAAATTCTCAGTGCTAAAAATAATGGATTTACACATTGATAGTATTCTAAGTTATGAATTATCAAAATAAGTAAAATAGAAAGCATTAACATTTGGCCTCAAACCTGTTATGTGAATAGCAGCATGTATAATTTTTTTAAACATATGATCTTGTTATGCCTAAATTAGCAATAAGGTGCATAATTTCATAGTATGTCAGGAATTTGAAAGACAGAAGTTACCTCATCCAGACCTTACTCCATGCAGAAACTGTCCCTTTTAGTACCCATGACAGTTGGTTACCAGATATTTGCTTGGTTGCTTCTAGCGGCAAGAAGTCAGCACCTTGGCTTCTGCACACGGCCCCCCAAGCTGAGGTGTTGGCACAGCCATTTCACACTAGGTTCAAGGCCTCTACGTGTGGCACCCTATGAGCTAGTCAAACTAGACTAAGCACAAAAGGAAAAAGAATGGGACTTACACCATTGGTTCTCCTGGTTCTCAGGCCTTCAGACTCAGACTGGAACTAAACCACCAGCTTTTCTGAGTCTCCCAGCTTGCAGATGACAGACAGTCTTTGCAGTCTCCATAATCATGTACAAATTAGTATATATAGGGGAGGAGGATAACATGGCGGACTAGAGGGACCTGAGCTCACCTCCTCTCACAAAAACACCAAACAACTAACTGCTGAAAAGCATTGACAAAAAAAGGACTAGAACCTACCAAAAAAGATATTCTACTTCGAAAAACAAAGAAGCCGCAACAAGACGGTAGGAGGGTTGTATTCACGATACAATCAAATCCCATATCCACTGGGTAGGTGACCCACAAACTGGAAAATAATTATATTGTGAGGTTCTCCCATAGGTGTGAGTTCTGAGCCCCCATGTCAGGCTCCAGTGGTCTGGCATTGGGAGGAGGAACCCCTTAGAGCATTTGGCTTTGAAGGCCAGTGGGACTTGATTGCAGGAGTTCCAGAGGACTGGGGGAAACAGAAACACCACTCTTGGAGGGTGCACACAAGGTCTCATGTGCACCAGGACCCAGGGGAAAAAGGCGTGACTTAATAGAAGCCTAGGCCAGACTTACCTGCTGGTCTTGGAGGGTCTCCTGGGGGAGGTGGAGGGCAGCTGTGGCTCACCACGGGGAAAAGGACACTGGTGGCAGAGGTACTGGGGAGTACTCATCAGCGTGAGGTGTCCTGGAGGCTACCATTGCAATGCCAAGACCTGGCCCCACCCAACAGCCCACGGCTCCAGTGCTGGGAAGCCTCAGGCCAAACTACCAACAGGGCAGGAGCACAGCCCCACCCATCAGCAGACAGGTTGCTTAAAGTCTTCCTGAGCTCACAGCCACCTCAATACACCCCTGCCCATCAAAGGAACAAGACCCAGCTCCACCCACCACTGAGGAGACATCAGTCCCTCCCACCAGGAAGCTTGCACAAGCCTGTTAGATCAGCGTCACTCACCAGGGGGGCAGACACTACAAGCAAGACGAGCTATAATCCTGTAGCCTGCAGGACGGCAAACACAGAAAGTTAGATAAAATGAGATGGCAGAGGAATATGTTCCAGAGGAAGGAACAAGATAAAACCCCAGAAGAACTAAGTAAAGTGGAGATAGGCAACCTACCTGAAAAAGAATTCAGAATAATGAAGTAAAGATGATCCAAGGTCTCAAGAAAAGAATGGAGGCACAGACCAAGAAGCTACAAGAAATGTTTAACAAAGCTAGAAGATTTAAGGAACAAACAGTTGGATAATAACTGAAATGAAAAATACACTAGAAGGAATAGCAGAATAACTGAGGCAGAAGAACAGATAAGTGAGCTGGAAGACAGAGTGGTGGAAATCACTGCCCCGGAACAGAATGAAAAAAAAAGAATAAAAAGAAAGCAGGACAGTCTCAGAGACCTCTGGGACAATATTAAACACCAACATTTGCATTATAGGGGCCACAGAAGGATAAGAGAGAGAGAAAGGGCCTGAGAAAATATTTGAAGAGATAATAGCTGAAAACTTCCCTAACATGGGAAAGGAAACAGTCACCCAAGTCCAGGAAGTGCAGAGAGTCCCATACAGGATAAACCCAAGGAGGAAAATGCTGAGACACATTAATAAAATTGACAAAAGGTAAAGACAAAATATTAAAAGCAACAAGAGAAAAGCAACAAATAACATACAAGGGAATCTCTATACAGTTATCAGCTGGTTTTTTAGCAGAAACTGCAGGCCAGAAGGGAGTGGCACAATATATTTAAAGTGATGAAAGGGAAAAACCTACAACCAAGAATACCCAGCAAGGCTCTTGTTGAGCTTTACAGACAAGCAAAAGCGAAGAGAATTCAGCACCACCAAACCAGCTGTACGGCAAATGCTCCAGGAACTTCTCGAGGTGGAAAGGAAAAGCCCACGACTAGAAACAAGAAAATTACAAATGGGAAGGCTCATCAGTAAAGGCAAACATACAGTAAACATGGGAAATTATCCACACACAAATATATCAAAACCAGCAATCATGAGGAGAGTACAAATGCAGGATATTGGAAATGCATTTGAAATGAAGACACCAGCAACTTAAAACAATCTTGTGTATATATATATAGCCTGCTATATCAAAACCTCATGGTAACTGCAAACCAAAAATGTACAATAGATAAACATGCAAAAAGAAAAATATCCAAACACAACACTAAAGTAGTCATCAAATCACAAGAGAAGGGAACAAAAGAGGAACGGAAGAAAAAAGACCTACAGAAACAAATCCAAAACAATTAACAAAATGGCAATAAGAACATACATATCGGGGTGCTGGGAAGATGGCAGAGGAGTAAGACGCGGAGATCACGTTCCTCCCCACAGACACACCAGAAATACAACTACACGTGGAACAACTCCTACAGGCCATCTACTGAACGCTGGCAGAAGACCTCAGACCTCCCAAAAGGCAAGAAACTCCCCAAGTATCTGGGTAGGGCAAAAGAAAAAAATTAATTAAAAACAGAGACAAAAGAATAGGGACGGCACCTGCACCAGGGGAAGGGAGCTGTGAAGGAGGAAAGGTCTCCACACACTAGGAGCCCCTTCGCGGGCAGAGACTGCGGGTGGCGGAGCGGGGAGCTTCGGGGCCGCGGGGGAGAGCGCAGCCATGGGGGTGCGGAGGGCAAAGCGGAGAGATTCCCGCACAGAGGATCGGTGCCGACCGGCACTCACCAGCCCGAGAGGCTTGTGTGCTCACCCGCCGGGGCGGGCAGGGCTGCGAGCTGAGGCTCGGGTTTGGTCGGAGCGCAGGGAGAGGACTGGGGTTGGCGGCTTGAACATAGCCCGAAGGGGTTAGTGCACCACGAGGTGCGCGAGGAGAGGGGACTCAGAGCGCCACCTAAACGAGCTCCAGAGACGGGTGCGAGCCGCGGCTACCAGCGCGCACACCAGAGACGGGCATGAGATGCTAAGGCTGCTGCTGCAGCCACCAAGAAGCCTGTGTGCAAGCACAGGTCACTATCCACACCTCCTCTCCCGGGAGCCCGCGCAGCCCACCACTGCCAGGGTCCCGTGAGCCAGGGACAACTCCCCCGGGAGAACGCCCGGCGCGCCTCAGGCGGGTGCAATGTCACGCTGGCCTCTGCCGCCGCAGGCTCGCCCCGCATCTGTACCCCTACCTCCCCCCGGCCTGAGTGCGCCAGAACCCCCGAGTCAGCGGCTCCTTTAACCCCGCCCGTCCTCTCTGAGCAAAAAACAGATGACCTCCAGCGACCGACACGCAGAGGCAGGGCCAAATCCAAACCTGAGGCCCTGGGAGCTGTGAGAACAAAGAAGAGAAAGGGAAATCTCTCCCAGCACCCTCAGAAGCAGCGGATTAAAGCTCCACAATCAACTTGATGTACCCTGCACCTGTGGAATACATGAATAGACAGCGAATCATCCCAAATTAAGGAGGTGGACTTTGAGAGCAAGATTTATCTTTCCCCTTTTCCTTTTTCTGTGTGTATGTGTATGCTTCTGTGTGAGATCTTGTCTGTATAGCTTTGCTTCCACCATTTGTCCTAGCGTTCTATCCGTCCATTGTTTTTTTAATTTTTTCTTAATAATTAATTTTAATTTAAATAACTCTACTATACTTTACCTTCTTTCTTTCTTTCTTTCCTTCCTTGCCTCCTGTAGACAACGAATCATCCCAAATTGAGCACGTAGACTTTGAGAGCAAGTTTTATGATTTTTTCCCCTTTACCTCTTTTTGTGAGGGTGTATGTGTATGCTTCTGTGTAAGATTTTGTCTGTATAGCTTTGCTTCCACCATTTGTCCTAAGGTTCTACCCATCCCTTTTTTTCTAAATAATTATTTTTTAATTAAATAACTTTATTATACTTTTATTTTACTGTATCTTCCTTCTGTCTTTTTTCCTTCCTTCCCTCCTTCCTTCCTTCCTCCCTCCCTCCTTTCTTTCCTTCTTGCCTTCTTTTCTTCTTTCTTCCTTCCCTCCTTCCCTCCTTCGTTCCTTCCTTCCTTCCCACCTTTCTTTCTTTCTTTCTTTCTTTCTTTCCTTCTTTCTTTCTTTCGTCCTACTTCTACTAATTCTCTCTACTTTCTCTCCCTTTTATTCTGAGCCGTGTGGATGAAAGGCTCTTGCTGCTCCAGCCAGGAGTCAGGACTCTACCTCTGAGGTGGGAGAGCCAACTTCAGGACACTGGTCAACAAGAGACCTCCCAGCTCCACATAATATCAAATGGCGAAAATCTCCCAGAGATCTCCATCTCAACACCAGCACCCAGCTTCACTCAACGACCAGCAAGCTACACTGCTGGACAACCTATG